CGTAACCTCCACCTACGGCTCCCAGGGTATAGAGCCCCAGGTTCGTCCGGACCTCCTTTCTTTTCCTAACCATACCCAAAACCACCGGTCGAGTACTGCCCCTCGACCGAATCCAGGATCTCGCGCTCCCGCTCGTAACAGTGCTATTTGACTCCCTACTCGAAATACTAAAGAACATGTGTAAGTTTGCTTTTTTTAATTCACATGTCTTTGAAATTTTTTACAATCTTAACTTAAATGGAGCACCCTGTATAGTGAAATACACGATTTATATTCAATCGGTGTGTTATACATATGTATAAGGTTCACGATTCCTATTTCTTTTAAAAATTGTAATGCTTCTTTTTGCACGATTAAACGTCATTTAGGTGTTTGATAGTTTTTGGTAGGACGAGTTTCTTTCTTGTTTCTTCGTATTTTTGACACTTTGTTAAAATGTGATCGATTGTTAGCGTCGAGTTGCAGTTTTTGCAATTTGGTTTTTCTTCTTTCGACATCAAATACGAACATGTTAATTTACTTACTTTGATTTTTACAAGTTGTCATTATTTCAAAAAATATCTAAATATATGTATTTTATGTTATATATTCAGACATTTTCATATGTGTATGTATTAATTAGGAAAAGTGAAATCAAATTGGACGCCATACTTGCACAATCATATGAATGCAACGTAGGAGAACGCGTTATTAGGTATTGTTCCCATGTAGCAATAATTACATGGTACTTTAGGTTTCCTCGATTTCAAGCCTCAATTCATCTGCCTGCTGATTTCTCTGTTAATTATTTCGTGGTCGATTCGATATCCGAAGAAGACGATGAAACGAAATATAGCCGAGGTCAATCTTCACCATGTTTACATTTTAGACTCATTTTCAATAATTTCATTTTTCGGAGAAGCGATAACGATATTTTTTTAGCAAAAATGAGCATTTTTTAACATACTTCTTTAATGTCAAAATTCTTGTTCAATTCGAATAACATTTCGTGCACTTCGTTCGATTGATGGTCAATAAACTCATACAATTTGTCGTTTAATGTAGAAATTCGAAGCCACTGGTTGTTGATTAACACATTTTGTCACGTCAACGTATTGCAAGAAGACAGTATTGTTACTGTAAGGAAAAATTGTTGTAAATCTAAATTGATTGATTCTACAATGTCTCTACTCAAAAATTAGGTATTCCTTAAATTTTCGTGTAGCGAATTCTGCGATTAGACGTAATTTTATCATCGCAAGTATAATTAAATTACACTTTGGCCAACTTTATTCGTAGTTTTGAAAACACTTCAGCAGGATCATTAGTATTCTATAGATGACATTTACATGTCGGAGGCGTGGAAACCGATCCTCTTGAATGGGTTCTGGCTGACCAGCTGGAGCTTTTTGCCGCGGTTACGCGGAGAGTACGAATGACTCGCGAAGTGAGTTTTATCGAGCGCGCGGAAAAAGGAAGGTAGACTCTCTGACGCGACATATCCGAGGCTAAAATTACATTTCAGGTTTCCCAGCACCTGCGCGCTATAGTCTTCATGAATAAATGGATCGTAAAACAGCGAGTCGACTCTATGATCGCAACCTTTGAAACGATCGAAAGAAAGATGGCCGAATTTATAACTGTTTTAGCACCAAAAATTTTAATAAGGTATCGTTCTATAAGTTTCAAAGTATCATGAAAGTACAATTACATATTTATGGCAAACGTTATAAGAAAGTTGTGAAACTAGTTGATGAAATTGATGATCCACAGTGAAATAAATTTTAACTCGCTGACATTAAACGATTTTAACTTTTGAACAATTGCGTGAAACGTAAACATTCAAACTGATTTTTAAAAAGAAACTCTATATTAATACATTGCGTAGAAAAATCTTATTCGAATTGTTACTTGATAATTAGACTGCGGATCTTTATATTTTTATTAATAGAATTAATGAAACGGGAGCGTTGTAGAGGGTTGTCTCAATCCCTAAATATAATAATTCGTATCTTACTTTAAGTGTTTCTTATATCTTTTCGTATTAAGTTCATTCTCTAGTTTTTTGAGAATTAAAATTTTCCATAAATGTATAAACATCCGCAATCTATTAATTACAATGGTGTTTTTGCAACACTTGAATATGTTTAAAATTGTACACTGTCAACAAGATGTGTACCTACGACCATAAGTAAGATTATATTTATGGACAGTAGTGCACATTGTTTTTTCGTCATTTTACGTGTGTATGTAAATGTCTTCAAAAGCATAAAAGTAAGTTGTAGGAAATCCCAGTTTCTACATTTAGCTTAGAATTAACCTCTTGTTGACATCTGTGTTCTTCAAAACATAGTTGATTAAAAGAAAAATTAATTTTTTACACTTTTTTCTGTTTACATGTATAAGTATAGAAAATAATGAATAATCTGACTTATATTATTATTGTATATTTTTGAGTTATTATTCAATTCATTATCAATTATATATTCTTGAGTTTCTAAAAATCACTTCGTATTTCGAATAACGGACAACTATTTTAAATAAATACGTCTCAATAGCCTCGCCTTCTCTACTCGAAGGGTTAACGAACGTGTCGGCTCGTTAAAATATTTGGTAAAGGCGCGGTTAATTATTGACTTAACACGGCGAGTATCTCTCGTTGTCCTCGTTCTTTCCATAATTCATATCGATCCGCAAATCTAAGCGAAAACGGTATTTTTGTTAAGGCGATCGTCTCATTTAGAATTTCAAAAATATCGATTCCTCTTTTGTCACATTTCCTTAAAATTTTAGATTTTAAAAACACGTAGACATTAGATTGAAATTCGAAAAATTAACAAAGCTTTGAGACTTGAAAGGTACAAATTGAAGCGTTCAAATATGGTAGCTGTAGCACCTGTAAGTAAACTATAGTAATGACATTTTATAACTTAATCATACATAAAATGTCATTAGTGTACAAATATACTTACAGATTCTACAGTTACATAAACTTGATTTTTGTCACAAAGGTGGCTCAGTTTACTTCTCATTAACTTCTTTCGCACTTAACGAAGGATTTCATATGGTTAAATTAATCGCTGAATTTCTATAACGATTCTGATTAAAGTAATTACAGTTGTCTGTCGCGGCATCCAATTCCAATATCAGCTTTTGTAAAATGTAAAGTAATTATGGCTGTATCGCCGGAACAACAATCAAAATGATGAAACACAATGAAAATTTCACTATTTTTCATTAAAATTCCACAATATTTTTTGTTGGCAAGAGACTTATTCTCATGCAGTTTTTCTTCTGAAAATCTAGAATCTAATTTTAAAATTATATTTTCCTTGATTTCCTTTAATATGGTTTCATATTGGGAAAAAGTTAAAAAAATACTATACTAATTACACTACTAATATAATCTATTTATCTACAACTGCAGATAAATAGATTATGAAAATGTATTCACAAATATTAATACTATTTAAGAATAACTTTTGTATATAGGATTTAAGGGGTTATTTTAGTTTAGAGTTTCATTTTTTCGGTGTTTTGGGGTTTTTTTTAAAAAAAAAGTATAAGTTTCTTAATTTCAAGATTTTGCATACATATTTATTTATGGTTTACGAATGTTCACAATTTTTTTCAAGTGAAAATAATCAAAACTGACTGAATTATGTGCAATTGAACAAGGTTCCTTTAAAAAAAGTGTCTTACTGGCTAACACGATTTCGATCATTCTGCTTATTTGAAATGAAAAAGTCAAAGCGATTCTTGATTACCATGACTGAGATTATGACGTGAACTAGAATGAAAATAATAGTAAAAATTTACAAAATGGCACTTTGAATCTTAAATATCGATTTTCTTGACTTTTTTTCACGTTTAGTGAGCTAAAAAAACAATAAGAAAAATTTTTTTTTTATTTTGGTCTACAATCATACTGATCAAGAATCCTTTTAATTTTTTCATTTTAGATAAGCAGAATGATTGGAATCATGTTAGCCAGTAGGACACTTTTTTAAACTCAATAGTTTTTTAAATTCAAAATGTCGAAATTAAGAAATTTATAGTTTCTTTGTAAAAAAAATCCCTAGAAAGATCAAAAAAAGAAACTCTAGACCAGAATGCCCCCTTAAGAAACCTAAATAAACATTACAAGTCTTTAAAAGACAGCGTACCAGCTCGTTAATTTTTATGCATTGCACCATTAGTTATAATACAACATTGTGCATTTAAATCAGTGTTAATATTTTTGAAAATTTTATAACATTGCTCAGTTTTGGTCATCACTGTAAATAGCTAATCATCGAATTTCTTAAAAATCATGAGAAAAGATAGTATCATATCTATCACTAGTTTCGAACACCTATTAATGAAAATCAATTACGTTCCAAACATTAATACAGTTTCTTTTTTCTGGTTTATATTACACTAAACTAAAATACATAATCTTACGCGAGTTAGTCATGTGTTGTTTTTGTTACTATCGTTTAAAAATGATGGGAAAAGATAGTACCATGCCTATCACTAGTTTGGAACACCTCTTAATGAAAATCAATTACGTTCCAAACATTGAGACAGTTTTTTCTAGTTTATATTATACTAAACTAAAATACAAAGCCTTACGCGAGTTGATTGTGTGTCGTTTTTCTTATTATTATTTAAAAATCATAGATTCTATTGTTCCGTCATTGTAGCCGAACCTTCAACGCTTTGTCTGACCAGGTACAGTCTCGTTTCACTGCTGTCACCCTATAAATTCTCGAGCGATTGCGAAACGGTTCGTTCGCCCGCGAGCCACTCGAATGAAAGGAAGGCTTCGTGGCGGATCTTAACTATTACTTTTCGACGCCACTTACTGTCTACTAGAGTCTATTAGGTGAAGCTGTCCTCGATGGAAAGACGCAACTGTTGCCCGTGCAGAATCGGTTAGCCGCGTGCAACAGCTGTTCCGTGTTCTTTGACGCCGCGCTCGAGAACGGTGCAGCAAATAATCGACATCTGAAACAAGTATTAACGCAACGAGAACTCACTCGGGTTCCTGAAAGCCCGCTGGAAACACGCTGCGCCGAACCGTGGTGTGATTGGACGCGATCGAGATTCCGGGCTTCACCAAGACCTCGGTGATAACACACTTCACCGTGAACGTGTGCTTGCTCGAATCAGCGGGCTCCTCGACTATTATCCGATGGAAGTATACCTTCTGGCCCTGTACAATGCAATTACACGTCTGCAGTTTGACTCGAATCCAGGGGTATCCTCCTACGCGAGGGAAACAATGGAAACTAGACGCGACAACTTGGGCTCGATGCGGACGAGCGACTTTTTCAAGCTAGATCACGTATATCTTTCTTTGTTTATTCTACTAAAAATAATCAGCAACGTTCGATTAAGTTTAGAGCTTCTTCCTTTCCTTTTTTCCCCTTGCGATACAAAATTTTCTTTTCTTTTCTCTTTTTATGTATTTTTTTAATCACGTTCTATTTACTATTTTTATACAATTATTATCATATTTTATTTTATTTTGTCAGGCTGAAGATCGCTTGAATAAGTTTCGAAACGTTCACGTTTCAAGGGGGTATTCTGCCCTAGAACGCAATTTTTTCATTGTACTTTGAACATTTTTAGTGGGAAAGATAAAATATTTTTGTACCCAGTTTAAATACATATATTTAGATCTATGCTTGAAAAATATTCATAATTTTTTTCATATAAAAATATTAAATATTTTAGAAGTCACGTTAATTTTAGCGAAAGTCCTTCAAGAAAAAGATGTCCTTATGGTTGCCACGAAAGTCAACAAGCACATTAATCAGTATGGACGTGGTCGTAGTTGGAGCTAGAATAATACACTTTAAAACCAAAGAATCTATTCTCTGTGTTTTTCAAAATATTTAATGTACTAAGGAAAATAGTAAAAACACGTGTGCTGAAAATTTCCTCCAAATTTGTTATCAATCGGTCCAGTAGGATTTGAGCTATCATGGCAACCATTTCGAAAAAATCGCGTTTAAAGTTTTATATTACTGTGCAAAGGTGTAACAACAAAAAAGATTCTATACTAGAATACCTCCTTAAATTAAATTTCACAAATATTGGGTCTTTTGCTCGTGTAAAAACTGAAACATGATCAAATTTCTATTGGTATCGAATAAACGGAAAAAAATCAATTATGAGTCAGTGATCTCCGTCGTATGATATGCAGAAGAAACATTGTGCCCCGTGGCTTGTTAACAATTTGAGAAGGAAATGGCGTCCGTAATGGAGTCGTGTAAGTCACCAGTCGCGGTCAGCCATCGACTTTAAATTCTACATTTTAATTATTCGGTTGTAGCCGTCCCGTCGCGTTATCGGCAACCAGACCTCGTAATTATGTCCTACCGTGACTTTGTTCACGACTTTCGTGATACCACATCGTAATATGTCCTCCTCCAGGAGCGATAATCGGAACGTGGCGACGCCGTTGCTCAGCCGGGCTTTGCAAGCCTCGTCTGCAAAAGAAGATACATTTCAGCGTACAAAATACGCGTGCGCAAAACACCGCTTCCCGTTTATATTTCACTGGCACGCCGGTAATGCTGTGGCTCCGCGTAGACAGAAACACGAATCGATCTTTACCTGGAAAGTCCTTCAGCTGCTGGAGATATATACTCGCCTGTGGACTGCTCCTCACGATGTCGACATCCATCCACTGCTCGGAGCATCTCACTTTGCTCTGAACTGGAACGAACAAGCGAGAGAAAATATCAGAATTTGTCCCGTAAACGGTTTTCGATTTTAATGCAAGACGATTGTATTATTTGAGAACCAATACCAATGGTCGGTAATAGTGCATTGAATTTCGAAAAGAAATCAGTATATTGTAGATTTATCAAACTCCAGACCAGTTGCTCTTAATACTTTTTAAGGCTATAGCCTCGAACTTATGTAACGTTTAACGATTTTGTTCGAAAGAACTTTAACTTTTTCAAAGCAGAACTGTTTCTGTTCGACTAGATCTTTTTCCCATTTTTGAAAAAAATAAAAATTTGTTATCTGTGCATAAATATATAGAGTGTAAGTATGTGGCAATGCCTCTCGCACTCATCAGTAGAGGGCTACGCGCAATTTATCACTCCCACAAGTACTCGACTGATCTATCCCTATACAGGGTGTTCGGCCACCCCTGAGAAAAATTGTAATAAGAGATTCTAGACGCCAAAATAAGAAGAAAATCAAGAATACCAATTTGTAGATTGAGGCTTCGTTAAAAAGTTATTAACGTTTACAGTTCTGCCGGTCGAACGACAATCTGCAAATTTTTTTCTCGAAAGTACGTAGGATATCGGGGGTATGTCTATTCACCAAAAATTATTGCAATTGACCCCCGCAATCGAAAATAATTTTTCTAGAACGATTTAAAATTTTTTAATTTTGTCGACAAATTCGTACACTTACCCGAATTTTTTTCTCGAAATTATGTAGGATTTCGGGGGTGTGTCTATTTATAAAAAAATGATTGCAATTGACCCTCACAATCGAAAATAATTGTTCCAGAACGATTTGATACTTTCCAATTTCGCCGAAAAATTTTAGCACACCCTCGTGTCGATTTTTCATAAAAATTCGTTTTTGATTTTTAGTAATTTTCTTTGACGCCCTACAGAAAAGTTGTCTAATACTTTTTTGTAGGTATCCATGAGCTCTACTTCGCAATCAAATTTCAACGAAATACGTTCGCTAATATAGGAGTTACGGTTGTTTGAAAACAAGACTATTTTTATGGGGGTTTTCTCACTTTACGGGGTTAAGGAACAACTTTTCGAACATTCTTAGAATTTCTACATATACTTCACCAAAATACTAGTAGTATGCATTTCAAAACATTAAAATCCTTCAATCCGCTCAGAAGTTATGATGTTTAAAATATACGCACGAAATTTCAGGGGAATCATTCATGTCTCTGGTCAGACATCATATTTCCGGTAAGAAATTTTTTTCTCGATACTGAGTACAATTTCTGGGATATGTCTGTTCACCAAAAATGTTTGTAATTGACCCCTGCAACCGAGATAATTTTTCCAGAACTATTTGAAATTTTTTAATTTTTATCGAAACTCTACTTACTTACGTATCGGCAGCCTTACAGTTTTGTGAGTGAGAGCAACTATCGTGGGTACACAGCTGTTCGCAGATTGCTGTTCTACAGACGGAATTTTAAACGTTAATATCATTTTAACGAAGCCTTGATCAACAAATTGGTATTCTTGATTTTCGTCTTATTTTAGCTTCCTGGCATCTCCTATTAAAATTTTTCCCAATGATGGCCGAACACCCTGTATATACGCTCCTCGACCGAGCATTGATCAACCCGTCGCGTCGTTTAAAGCAGAGCCTGCTAGAGTTGCTTTAGTATCAATATTTATTGATACATAAATATATATACATTATTATATTTATTTAGTGAGAATATTGGAGTCCACTAGCATAACACGAGAAACGCCTTCCCCCTTTCGTTTTCTTTTCTTTCCTATCTCGGTAGATATGTGAAACTGTTTTTTTTTTATAGCGAAAAAGTTAATAGTAGTAAAGAAACCTGACTGCTATATCAGAACAAATTGAAAATTGTAACAATTTCGTTCAACCCCGTGTAAAAGTCGCGCTGATGGCTTCTTCTTCGACGCAGCAGAAATCCGGTCGGTCCGCATTAAGGAAATTGTAATTCAGGTAGCTGAAGGAATATCGTGGAACCAGTTTCGCAGTGAACGTTGATAAAATATCGCTTGATATCGTTCCGGTGGATAGACGTTTCGGAAAAAGGGTAGGAAGAGAGGTTTCGAAACGCGCACAGCACGATCCCGGCGAGCGACGGACACTTGGAAAAGAAGACGAAGAAGAAGGAGTGCTGGCTATAAGCCTCGCAAACTAACTTGCAGTATACCACGGTAATTGGCCCATAAAGTCGTAAACGTCTCGACCTTGAAAAGCGACCAGCTCGACACTGGGTGCTCGAGAGACCCTCGCTGATGTATATCCCACTGGGTTGGTCCCTGTTTATTCGCGGTACTCGATGATAGATACTTTCACCGTTCGCGAGTAATGTCTGCAGCGATACACCGAAACCACCGATTTACATTATCGCGATGCGAAAGAAAACGCTCTATTCTCCGGCCCCCAGGTACGGACAGACCAGAAGAAATCGCCGAGTATCCTGCGTGATCGTTTCCTCTCCGGATAATTGAATTTCCAGTCATAAATCTCGATCCAGAAATAAAACGCGACCAGCCGATGCTCTTACAGCGATCGACGACTACTTCGATCGCGAGCCACGATCCCGTGGTTACGATTGGTCTGTGTCATCGATAATAGCTCTCCAGTGGAAGATTAGAAAATTAAACGACCGATAATTGAGACTGCCGACCAGACGTCGAACGATAAACGCGGGAAACGATTTGGTCCAGTAATTGGATTCAGGGATAACAATATAGGACGCTTGCAAACTAAAAGAGTAGTGAACAAAAATATCGACTGAAATGGTATTGTATTGTATTAGAATTTTTCTAACCGTTGATTATGGTAAATGTTTGCCGAGTAGTGTATATCCAACCCAACGTAATCTGGTCTAACTTATTCTTCGGTTTTTATTACTTGATAACTTCGTTTCATTCAAAGTATGGTTAAATTAGGGTAGGCTAGATTTTTATTAATTTTTATCAATTTTCTAAAAATATAATGTAATCAATTTAGTCTCTTTCAAGCAAAATGTAAAACATTTTTGTTGTTCTGTTTAGTATATACAGTTACTCTTACTCGTATTCGTACACTTTAATGGTGATTTGCTATAAATGAAAAATATTTGTTTGTTATAAATTGAGCCGTTATTTTTTATATTGATACAAGTCCATTTTTGCATACATTGTGATATTTGAGGGTTTGTCTTTGAATAAATTGAAAACAAAAGTCAACGGTCATGCCACGTTGAAAACACCGATTCTTATCTTTCAGAAACATGGTTTTATTAAACTTTTCCTGTAAGAAAAAGATATTCCTTCTATAGAAAATATATATTATTGGGCATCACATTGTGATAAATTTGAAAGAAAAATAGATATAATATCTTAACTGTTTCATAATGAAACAATGATTCATAATGAATGTTAGATGGGTGATTGCTTTGGAAAACACAACGTATTGTTGATTTGTATACTGTTTATATTATTTACATTTCTCTCTCGGTTTTATAATTGACATTGCTTACCCGTTAATATTAAATAAAATAAAATAAAATTACTTCGTAAGTAGAAGTTGCATAACTAATAAACAACATTTGATAAAAATAAATGGAAAGAATTTATAAGAAACAAGTTTCTTTTCATTTATAGCGAATCACTATTACAGAGTACGTGTACGAGTAGGAGTAATTGTATGTAAACAATCGTAATGCAATGGTGAAGATATACATACATTTTTTCGTCCTCAGAAACTTTCATTAGAAACTATTTCTAATTAATTTGTTTAAATTTAAGTCGATGAGCTATCAACTGCTTTCAAAGGCAATCGATCAATTTTATAGGAACAGTTTGAAACGATTTTCTACACTGATATTGTAGATCAAAAAGAGCAATACGAAAATGGTAGGAACTATAAGTTGGAATATCATAACACGAGATTAAATTGGAACCTCAATAAACGTAACAAGTTAAATGGATGATGACATGATGACGGAAGCAATGAAATTACGTACACGTGACAGCGGCCGTTAAAATATTAAACGTTCTCTTTGATATTTGTACTTCGGAGCCCTTCAGAGTTTCTACGAGTCCTTCTGTAATTAAATGACGGTTCTCCGATGTAACATTAGTGGTTTTTCAATCAAACTCTGGAATTCTTTTGATGTTTCCTGATGTTTATGATATATTTTCAACTATAGAATTGATGATTCGTTTTACCGTCCGACGTAAAATGTCCTCATATAAGAAAAACCCAGCAATTTAATAATTTATTTTTTGATTACTCTCACTCTTCTCAACTCTGACTCTGATCAATTCTTTATCAACTCTTTGATTCGTGTACGACAATCTTGCTCACTATAGTAATAGATTAATTGTTAATGTTGTTATTTGTTAATTGTTATGTAACATCATTATGTACCTACATATTTAAAAAAAAATTAAGGCAGTTAAGAGTAATTTGCTACTTATGATATATTGTTGTAGTTAGAAAAATCTAATTCTTGCATGTGGTTCAACTATTATATTTATTTTTTATTTGTTGACCGCTTTCAAAAGTATTTGTAGGGTAATCTTGTTTTTGAAAATGAAAACCTATATTTTTATTTACAGATTTTTATTCTACACAAAAAAGGACGAAACTATTGTATGAAATATGTTTTTATAAAATTTTATCTTACAAGGATATTTAATAAAATAAAAACTATATTTACTTATGAAACTTCTTTATTTTTTTCATGACTGAATGTTGACAAATTAATAACAATTACACTCTTTCACGTGGTTCTTTTGGAAGAGATTTAAAATGGAGAGCATTTTGAAAACATTTTATGAAAATGGGGGCACTGAAGTTTTTTTCGTATTATGAACAATAATCTATCGTTTCAAAATTTTGTTTATGTTTTAGGGATGTAAGCGTCCACAGTGATTCCTTATGAAGTAAAGAAGTCACGTAAAAATGTGTAATCGTTATTGATTCGTTATCATTTAGTCAATAAAAATAAAGATGTT